CCCCTCACGTGTGCAGTGGGTTCCAAGCAACGTCTTATGAGTGGCGCTGAGATTCGAACCCATGACCTTTGATCTGGCTCTGGTACCAAATTGAAGCATGTGCTCCATCTCAACTAAAAGCCTAAGCTAATAGTTAGATTGCACGTTAATGGCTATATGCTCAACACACCTCCTCACGTGTGCGGTGGGTTCCAAGCAACACGTGGGCCGTAGTCGCTTATGGGTGGCGCTGAGATTCGAATCCATGACCTTTGGTCTGGCTCTGATACCAGATTAGAGAAGGTGAATCGATGAATAATAGGAAATACAGAGTTATATCCTATAACAAAGACTATCTTATGCCTGAATAATAGCATCTAACTATAACTACTGTAGACTATTCTATTACCACATAAATACAACCATAGACTATACAAATAATAATATGGAAATAATAGCTATACTAATAATACAAAACATAATGGTCTTCGAAAAACAATATTCTTCAAATCACATCACCTATCCAATATCAGATCATCCTGTTGAAAAAAAATGATTAAAAAATAATTAAGAAAAAGAAAAAAAAAATCACAAACCAGTAATCATACCACTTAACGCTGCTCAATTGCTTCTTCAATACTAATAGACTGAAGTCTATTCTTAAATTGCTGCCACTCAAACAAAAAATCAAACCATTTTAGTTCTATAAGATCAACATCGAAAAAATTGGCAAGAAATATTTTATCTCCTCCTATCTCTATATAAACATCATGTGGAGTATCTGTAGCACTTGTTATCACATCTGGATCGGTCTCATTATAGGCGTGCATCGCAAATTCCATTAGGTGATAGAATTGGGAATCAATGGTAACATATCAAAATCAATGGTAACATCGCAAATTCCATTAGCTGCTATTACTGCTTTCAATTTGTTCACTTTCTGTATCTGCAGCAAACGTGACAGCTAGCAATATGTAGATAAATTCTGCAGAATAACATTGGATAACATTAACATTTGAAAACAATTAGGTAAACAAATAAGATAAAAAAAATGCTAATTACTAAGTATTTCCATCTCAAACACTTTGTGGTGTGTGTATCATGCGTGCGTCGTCCATTCGTGGTTCGTGCGTTTTGTAAGTGACAATAAATTTTTCTCTTTTCCCCCAAAAAAATTACAATTAAGTTTCCTAACCCCAATGCTAACTACTCACACATCATAGGTATAAATAATACAAAATTGTAAGAACAAAATGCAATTATAATGGAAAGAGAGAAAGGAAATGTAAATTTATCTATTAAAATGATGTTAAATCTTGAAATTCAAGTTTGAATCGTTGAATACAAGCTCTAAAATATGTTTAGAAAATCAAATCTAAGCCTAATATGGGAAGAAAATGAATAAAGAAATGCCAATGCGTGGAAAAAACAACCTTTCATAATTTGAAACTTCAATTTAGCTTTTCAAATTCAAATACATACACCGTCTTTCTTATAAATACTAGTTTTTTACGCGCATTGTGCGATTGGGATAATGCCCAATGTTTTTTTTTTTTTTTTTTTAAATAAGTACTTTAAAGTATATTAAGACATGATTATATTGAAATTGTTCATGCATAGATAATTGAAGGTTGAATTTGCGTATTTAAATAGGTAATTCTTCTCCCAAAGGTTGAGTCCCCAACCCCAAGGGCCCCCACACTCCGACCCGACAGAGCATTGTGGGAAGTTGTCAATCACGGTGACTCAATGGTTCAGCAGACAGGGCCAAATGCTGATACGCACAAGGAATCTGCCCACTTTGGACATAATTCCCGCACTGCCGCCGCCGAGGTTCAAACCTTCGTCTCTTCTCCCAAATACTACCCACTAAACCATTGAGCTAAGCTCGTGCGGGTTAAATAGGTAATTCTAAGTTTACAAATGCAAGATAATATAGTCAAGATTGATTATAATTGTCAATAAAATAATTGTATAGGTATCGTTGAAACCAAATATGGGACATAAGGGAGAACAAATAAAAATTAGGACATAAAATATTAAATATATACTAATATTGTTTGAGGAGATTCCGACATTAGGATTTGTGGTTAAGTTCTATTAAGACTTTAATATTAGAATTAGATTAATGGTGTAGTTATAATTCTATATTAGACTTTAATATTAGAATTAGACTAACGATGAATTAACGGAAAAGTTAAATGGATAATCATATAATTAAGGATAAATTAGAAAATCTTAAAAGAAAAAAATTAAAAACTGAACAATATGAACCATTCATTTGATTTAATAATTTGGCGGTCATTTTTTCTACCCAATGTTAATAATTAAATAAATTCGCTGGTCAAATCCGCTAGTATAATCCGCTAACATTAACCGCTAACTGCTGATTGTCAAACAAGGACATTGCGAGGTAGTTCTCACTTCAATTTGTTGTGTGATTTGAATACTCTCGTTGTCACAAAATCTCTCAAAGTAGTTAATATGGTTGGCTTTATTAATTATATTTTTTTTTAATTTTTTCATGGTATTAATAAAATACTTGGTAAATAAATATATAGCATTATTTTGTATTATAACTTTGATATTTAATTAGAAAAATAGTGCACAAAAAAGATAATAGACAATGTAGTAAATATAATCAATTGATGAATTTGAATGTAAAAATTTTTACATTTGAGAAAAATAAAGACAATATAACTAATGAAAATATTTCTCTTAATTAATTTATTGATAATGAATAATTTTTTTCACTGAATTAAGACATTGTAAGGACAATGTAGCGAATATAATCAATTATAAATTTGAACATAAAGAATTTTTATATTGTAGAAAAATAATGACAATATAACTAATAACATTATTTCTCTTATTTAATTTATTGATAATGAATAATTTTTTTTTGAATAAAAGCATTGTGGACACATAATTCTAAATTAAAGAAATGCATATCTATAATTTTTTGGTTGTAGCTACTAAATTATTATTTATATAATAATTTAATAAGAGTAAAATAGAGTACTAATTATGTCAACTTTGATTGGGATGAGGTTCGAACCTAAGACCTTTTTTTTTTATTGAAATCAATGAGTAAGTTAACGGTGAACTAACGGCAATTCTTAAAATTTTAACGGAATTAGTAACGGTGTGTGGGTATTTTAGGAAATTTTAGTGTAAAATTTAAATCTTATCAATCTTTTAATCAATCTGAGTCATTCATTTGATTAAAATCTGTGACCGCCATTTTTTCTACCCATTATAGGCCTAACTCTCTTGGGCTCTTATTAGTATAGTAGATTATACATTTGTCCAGTGCGATGCACGAGAAATATGTTATAAAAATATACCATATTTGAGGTTTATTCATATATAAAATTTTTATTATTTAATAATTATGTGTGAATTGCTATGATAAAATTATGAACATATATAAATATATTTACAATTAAAATAAAAATTGATATTTAAGATGAGTGATTACTACAAATCTTAAACTATATTAAAAAATTTAGTACATAGTATTTAATATTACAAATTTTTAAGGACTTAGTAAACTACAATAGTACTCTAGAAATCTCAAAGGTGACTCTGAAAATTGTAATTCAATTACTATTGTAGTTTACTAAGTTCTTAAAAAATTTGTAATATTAAATACTATGTACTAAATTTATAAGAATGACCTCATTAGAATAATCTCAGTTGAAGTTTATTTGTGAGTTTTTGGATGGATTGGATGAGGCAAGAGAGATGAAAATGAATTAAGGTTAATTTGAATTTTTATGCACCATGTAATAACTAAATAAATAAATCTTAACTATTATATAATCATATGGTTTCTTAACTATAATATAACCATATGGTTTGGTGAGCAATTATTGTTACACAATAATTGCTCACCAAACCACATAGCTATATTATAGTTAAGATTTTGTAGAGTTAATAACCGAAATGGTCCCTTGACTATAGCGAAATTACTGATTTGGTCCTCGACTATAATTTTTACTTAATTAAGTCCTCAACTATGAAAATCATACCCAATTTGATCCTCCGTTAAAATTCTATCCATAAGTTGTTAAATTTAAGGGTAAAAAAATAATTTCACATGTCTCTTTTCTTCTTCCCTATCTTTCGGTCTTCCCTCTCATCTGACATGGAGGTTGAGCTTTAGGGAAGATAAAGTCCCCAGAATTTGGTTCTAAAAAGAAGAATGCCAAGGTCTACACCGAGTATGTAAACCTCCTTTCCGACGAGGATGGGCATAAGCCTTTAAAAAAGCTTGTGGATCCGGATTTTATTCGCCCCCGCCCTCCTTCTTCGACCGCTATGGGTTTCAAGCTTTACGACGTCCTTGATGCCTTCTAAAAGGATGGTTGGTGGACTGGAGTTGTAACTAAGCTCCCCATCCCTGCTGAATTAGTACCCACATTGTCACTGAAGGATGGGGAGCTCAGTTCCCTATGATGTAGATGCTAAGGATCCAATATCACAAACTTATCTGATAATCAGTTCTCAGGCCAAATTCTGGGGACTTTTTTTTTTTTTTTTTCTTTTTCAACTTCAAACAAAATTCACTAAACCAAAATTTACTGTTTAAATTCCAGTAACGTTGGGGTATATGCTAGAAAACAAACAGGAAGATAAAAACCGCAGAGATCGAAACTCAACTTGGACATAACTAATACAATAAAATTGAATTTAAGCACCCTTATCAGCTTTAGCAGCAGTGACTGCAGCTTGACCACGGAGATGACTAGTTCTTCTGGCAGCAATAAGAATAACCTTCTGGCCGGGGGGTGCATTATCAAAGCTACAAGGGCAGCACGGTCATGATAAATCACAAGCAGGGGCTTTATTGTAATTGCTATCTTTCTTGATTCGGTTATAACCGTTTCACCCGCCATCCTATCTGTACATATACTCTCTTTGTTCTTCTTCTTCGGGTTGAATAAACTAGCCTACCTTTTTTCCTTCGTTTACTCCAAGCTTCTCACCTCTCGGTGATCACCATTTACATTTCCGTCATGGTATCAGAGCCACCGCGGTTCACCTACGCCGTCGCGGTCACCGGCTCCGGCGAGACCAGTCGCAGAGCCCATTCGATGCAGCCAACACAGCAACCTCCAATCCAGAATGCGTCCATGGGCGATCAACAGAGAAATCTTGCTTCGCAGAGAAGCAGTGGTGTTGATGATATCGAGAATCCCTTGCATCTCAACATCAACGAAAATCCGAGTGCCATTTTGGTCAGTCCGCCACTCTCCGGCAGTGCCAATTACGCCTCATGGAGTATTTCGATGCAAGTTGCCCTAGAAGTCAAAAACAAGTGGGGCATAGTTGACGGGAGCTTATCACCACCAGAGAGAACCAATGCTCTGTATCCTCCATGGAGGAGGTGCAACCTAATGGTTTGTTCGTGGATTCTCAGGTCCGTTCTCCCGTTGCATATGGACAAAGCTGTTGATGTTTTGGAACGATTTGAAGAGGCGCTTCTCTCAGCGAGATGCGCACAGAATTTCCTTTTTGCAGAACGATATCAACAACCTAACGCAAGGAGACATGTCGATCAATGACTACTACACTAAGTGTCAGACTCTCTGGGAAGAGATGAACACTCTCCGACCCTTGCCGATATGTAAATGCCAGCCGCGTTGCTCTTGTGACTTGCTTGACCAAATCAGGTTGGATCGAGAGATCGATCATGTCATACGATTCCTCCAGGGACTGAACGAAGAGTATAACACTTTGAAATCTAGAATTCTTGTTCTCGATCCCCTCCCTGAGATGCACAAAGTGCTTGTGATGGCTGAGAAACATGAAAGACAGTTGATAGTCACGAATTTAAGCTCTGGAAATCTCAGTTTCACCCATGCCAACGCTGTTCATACTGGACAGAACAATGAAGAAGAAATGGCGGCTGTAGTTAATTTTTCCAATTTCTCCAATGGGAGAAGGGTGACACAATCTGGAGGGAATAACAGGAACTTAGCAAGATGCACTTTCTGTGGGATGACGGGGCACACCATCGAAAAATGCTACAAGAAACATGGCTACCCTCCCGGGTGGGTGCCAGGTTTCAAATCCAAGAACAAGCAGCAGTCCACAACGGCCAGTACAAGCTCTGAAAGCAACTTTTCTCCTGAGCAGATTCAGAGTATTCTCTCCTTAATTCAAAACCAAATGGGGCAGAACAGGTCCAGCACATCAGCAGTTGTATCTCTGGTCCCAACTTCAACAAAGAGAACTCAAACACTGAAGGCAAGTACACTGATCTTATGCACATTAACTCTGCTTATCTGAATTCTTATGCTTGGATTATTGATTCGGGTGCAACCGATCATATAGTTTGTTCTCTAGAGTTCTTTGATAATTATCGTACTGTGAGTGAAGCCAAGGTTAATCTGCCTAATGGGAATCATGCAACTGTTGAACATATTGGCAATATAAAGCTGAGTAATGACATTTGGTTGAAGGATGTGTTACACATACCTTCGTTTAAATTCAACATCATTTCTATTCATAAACTTCTTCAGAACTCAGCTTACTCTTTGATGTTTACCTATGGTCAGTGTCTTCTTCGGGAGGACCATGGGAGGATGATTGGATTTGCTAAAGAAGAATAGGGGCTCTACTTGCTGTGTGAACCACCAAGGATCAATTTCAATAATATTGATTGTAATCATGTCTATATGCAGTGCAATAATGTAGAACTTTGGCATCAACGGTTGGGACATTTTCCCGTAAATAAGATGTATTTTCTTGATGGTATCTCTGTTCCAAGTACAAGAAATCTGATTTGCCATACCTGTCATTTAGCTAAACATAAGAGATCCTCTTTTCCCTTAAGCAACACTGTTTCAGCTTCTTGTTTTGATCTTATCCATGTGGACATCTGGGGCCCTTTTCATGTGCACTCTCTAGGAGGAGAAAGGTATTTCCTCACCATTGTTGATGATCACTCAAGGTACACATGGCTGAAATTGATGAAGAGCAAAGCAGAAACCCGGCAATTAGTACAAAACTTCCACAAGATGGTCCTTACTCAATTTGGAGTAGCCATCGAGATGCTACGAAGTGATAATGGGGCAGAATTCAGCATGGAAACATTTTTCAATACAAGTGGGATGATTCACCAACGATCATGTGTCTCAACTCCTCAGCAAAATGCGATAGTAGAACGCAAACACCAACATGTTCTGGCCGTTGCTCGTGCTCTCCGATTCCAAGTAAAGCTCCCTTTAAGCTTCTGGGGGCAGTGTGTGGTTCATGCTGTTTATCTCATCAATCGATTGCCATCTGCGGTTCTAGAATGGCAAACTCCACACCACAAGTTATATGGAAGGAGCCCAGATCTCAAGGACATAAGAACATTTGGGTGCCTGTGTTATGCTGCCACCTTGTCGTCCCCACGTCACAAGATGGCACCTCGAAGTCGAAGGTGCATTTTCATTGGAATGCCAGCAGGAGTTAAAGGATATATCCTATATGACCTTATGGAGTGCTCCGTATTCATTTCGCGTGATGTTGTCTTTTATGAAGACGTTTTTCCCATGACTAGTGTTGCAGAATCTAGCCTGCAAGAAGTGGCTCCCTCTCTCCCTAACATTCCCACAATGACGAATGAGGACCTCAGTCCCCTCATAACAGGTGAAGATCACTCTCAGGAACGTGAAGAACACATTGCCAGGCCCCCAAACTCTGAGAGAAGAAATGCAGAACAGCCACTGAGCTTAGCCACTGAGCATTTTGTTGATAATCAGAGTATTATTGAGAGCATTCTGAGAAATATTGATGATGATGCTACTAGCAATGGCACTCCCAGTGTCATACAGAATCCCACTAACTTCACACAACAACATAATGTGCATCTCCGGCGTTCTAGCAGGATACATCAACCATCCAAGAGGCTAGAAGGATATTTCTGTGACAATGTTGTCAGGAACAGAACATCCCCCCATCTCTTATCAAATGTCATGACTTATGACAACCTTGAATATCACGAAAGAATGTTCTCCATGGCCGTTGCTACAGTTACCGAGCCAAGAACATACAATCAGGCTATCAAAATTGATGGTTGGAAGCAAGCTATGAATGCAGAAATTTTGGCCCTTCAAGAGAATAACACCTGGGAAATTGTTGATCTACCACCAGGGAAAGTACCCATTGGCTGCAAATGGGTTTATAAAGTGAAGCTTAAAGCGGATGGGACGATTGAGAGGTACAAAGCGAGGCTTGTCGCCAAGGGTTTCACACAACAACTTGGCATTGATTACCTTGAAACTTTCTCCCCGGTCGCTAGGCTGACTACCATACGTGCATTCATCAGCGTGGCTGTGTCTAAGGCATGGCATATCCACCAATTGGATATCAACAATGCATTTCTACATGGGGATCTCAACGAGGAAGTATACATGGTGTTGCCTCTCGATTTTCAAAGTCAAAAACCGAACCAAGTTTGTAAGCTACTACGATCGTTGTATGGATTGAAACAAGCTAGCCGGCAGTGGAATGCCAAGCTTAATGCAGCCCTGCACCATGATGGATACAAACAATCAACCAGTGATCCATGTCACTTTACAAAAGGCAGTAACAATGACTTCATTGCCTTACTTGTTTACGTCGATGATATCATTGTTGCTAGTGCCAACATGAGCCTCATTCAACATCTCAAAGACTTCCTGCATTCTGTATTCAAAATCAAAGACTTAGGACCATTGGGCTACTTCTTGGGGATCGAAGCTCAAAAGGAGAAGGATGGCCTAAGCTTGTGCCAACACAAATATGCACTGGAAATCCTAGAAGAAACTGGATTCATTAACAGCAAACCGGCAGTAACACCCATGGTCCAAGGGCTGAAACTGGTTCATAATGAAGGAGCACCACTCCCAGATGCTAGCTCGTACAGAAGGCTGGTTGGACGGTTATTATACCTCACCGCCACCAGACCTGACATCGCCTTCGCCGTACAGCAACTGAGCCAGTTTGTAAACGCTCCTACAGACACACACCTATCGGCCGCTCATAGAGTATTGCGATATATCAAGCGATCACCAGGGCAGGGGTTGTTCTATCCTACTCATTCCGACTTTCACCTCAAGGCCTTTTCGGATTCCGATTGGGCAGCATGTATTGAGACACGGAGATCAGTGACTAGATACTGTATATTTCTGGGCTCATCACCTGTTTCTTGGCGCTCTAAAAAGCAGGCAACGGTCTCCAGGTCTTGCTCTGAGGCAGAGTACCGTGCCATGGCATCAACCGTTTGTGAGCTTCAATGGCTCTCTTATTTGCTTCGTGACTTACAGATACCAATGCTGAAACCTGCTACCTTATTCTGTGACAACAAATCCGCAGTGGCAATAGCGGAGAACCACGTTTTTCATGAACACACGAAACATATCGATATTGACTGCCATATCGTGAGAGAGAAGTTCAATCAAGGCTTGATCAAAATCTTATCCGTAACTTCACAAAATTAGGTTGCTGATGGCTTCACAAAGTCCATCCCAACTGCAGCTTTTCACCAATTCACTTCTAAGCTGGGCACAAAGGATCTATATGCCCCAGCTTACGGGGGGGTATCAAAGCTACAAGGGCAGCACGGTCATGATAAATCACAAGCAGGGGCTTTATTGTAATTGCTATCTTTCTTGATTCGGTTATAACCGTTTCACCCGCCATCCTATCTGTACATATACTCTCTTTGTTCTTCTTCTTCGGGTTGAATAAACTACCCTACCTTTTTTCCTTTGTTTACTCCAAGCTTCTCACCTCTCGGTGATCACCATTTACGTTTCCGTCATGCATCGCGGCGGACAGTGCTGGCATGATCAATATGCTGATGGTTACCACCACCATGAGGATGCTCCAGAGGATTCAATGTAGTAGAATAATGTTAGGTCAAAAATTGTACTTACAAGATCTGATTTTGTCCAAAATACATAGATTAATAAAATTAAAATCTTTAAACAAATATTATAATGCATATCTGTTCATAACTACTTTCTCAACCCATTGAGCACAAAAAACCAATATTCCCTCCACTGAGACTTGATCCCACAACCTCTCTTATAAGGGGGAAATTTGGTGTCATTGGACTACAAGGTCCTCAGTACATACATTAGTATATAACAAAAACAAAATAAACTTCAAATCTTCATTAATAACCTGAAAAAATAATAATAATTTGAATAATAAAATTATAATGACAAAATAGCTTAGCTAAATTTCTGGAATGTATGTCTAAGGAGAAAGACCAATGCTTACAGACAAAAAATGTTCACTTATTTATTAGAACAAGTGAAGAGTTGATATACCAGAAGCAATAAAATGCTTTAATGCCCAGAACAGAAATTTCATACCTGCAAAATTTCAATTCCATATCTCGGATGATATCGAACAATTCTCTGTGACCACTCATATTTATGATCTTTTGATCCTTCAACAATCTTTCCCCCACCAGCAATTTACAACAACACCATCTATGTTTAAAGACTTTAGTAGTTGTAACTCCTGTTTAACACCACTAGAATCCACTAATTGGCATAAATTGTTAATTATACCACTCTGCCAGAAAGAAACCTGTTAATATTATCATTGACTGAAAAAGAACGGATGAACAAAAAATAATCTTCCATTCATTCCTTTAGATCATGAATGCATGTAGAATTTTAAGAATCAAAGCAAATAAATTAATGGAAAAGGATTGCACTTTCACCTACTCGCACTGCTATGATATTTTCCTATGCCACATATCCCCATAGAAGCAACAATAATCGCTGTTGAGTTTTTCATAAGAATGTCAAACTCATTGTGGCATCCCACAATTGTGACGTTCAACAAATACCACTTTCCTCTATGCAAGAGCTTCATCTTTTCATGGAAAACCATTTTCATTCTAAGTTTGCAGGAAGAATTAGGGTTATATATACATTTAATTTGAAGAAATTTTGTATATTTTATAGTTGTAGTTTGAGTTGTGGGTTAGGTGGTATATATAAGAAATTAATCCTGCAAAATGATTTATTTCCTTTTTTTTTGTCATGTTTTTAGAATGTATCAAGCTGTAAATACATTGCATTTGGTTTAGTATGTGAAATTTCCAAATCCATTTCACATTACCTAATAGGCAAAAACATTAAGAATTTAGGTGTAATGAGATTCAATGAATGTTAAAAAAAAAATGTTATAATACATTAAATTGTAGCATAGTTAAAACGGTGTAACAATGTAGTGAAGACAATTTTGTTTTTTGTTTTTTTTGTTTTTTTTTTTTTTTTTGAAAGGAGAAGACAATTTTGTTAAATGAAAATGAAGTGTAAAACAATTAGATTACTAGCACCAAAAAAATTAGACAAAATATGACCTAAATTGACACATATAATGTTTTTATTTAGATTTTAATTTGTATTTATATTTTAATATTTTTATGTGGTGCGTATATATGAGCAAGTTCAATTCAAATGAAAACAATGCTTTCTTGTTTAAAATATAAAATAATCATATCCATTCATCTAATTTGATTAATAATTAAACATTAAAGAAAAAATATAAGATTAGTTTCATAAATATTATAAACTTTTCAAAGTTGATCTAGAACATAGATTTTCCAAAACGTCTAACCAAATATAATTTTAGTGAGCATCAAGAATTCAACAATCTATTTTTTATTTTTTTTTTTGAAAACCAACCAAAGAATGATTGTTTTAATGAAACAAAGATGCAATGCAGTCAGGGGGGATATAATCCCAGTACATAGCTTGATCCTGAACAAAAGCTAACGAAGTTAGCGTATGCGCATGCGAATTAATCTGCCTAGAAATATAATTTAACAAGACATAATTAAATGACGAAATTAAACTCCTACATTGGTCTATTACGACCCCAACATAGGACATTATGATGGTTGATTTCTGTCGTATAGCATTCCTCAGCTGTATACAGTCTGTGTGAAGGATGACCGTTGTTATATTCTTCTCCAATAGTCATGATAGAGCCTCCTTACATGCCAAAGTCTCCGCCATAAACGGCGACAAACAATTTGGGAGTCTTCCATTTTTGCCGCCAAAAAAAGATCCTTCTGGAGACAACAACACAATGCCGTATGTAGCCTCCCCCGTGTCCTCCCGGTATCCAGCATCCACGTAACACCGTGGCATGGCGTCTCCTTCGCTTTCCACCGTAGCAGCCACGGGTGTAGCTGGGCAGCGGCGTGCAACCTGCCAGAAAGACTGCAGCGCCGCCGTGGCTTGTCTCCATGCTGCCGTAGGGTGAGGAAGTGTGCCGTCCCATACGGCTGAATTTCTGCATCTCCATAGACGATAAAGCAGCGCCACTACGGCTCCACTTTGATCCTCTGTTAACATTGTAAGCACAGTTGTTAGCCACTCGGGGAACGAGTTAGACAACAATATTTGTTGTAGGCAGTCCTGAAATATTCCAAACATATCTAGAATAATCACAAGTAATCAATGTATGCATCACATTATCATGTGCCACCCCACACATTTGGCATGTGGTATCCACTTCAACCCTCTTTATAATCAAATTATTAGTTGTTGGAAGAACATCACAAATTACTCTCCACAAAAAAGTCTTCCATTTTGGGGGTATCTTCATCCCCCACATTGTAGTCCATTTCTCAAAATCCCCTGGTGAGTGGTTATAAACACCCATAATGTTCCTGTAGGCATTCTTAACTGTATACACCCCATTAGGGTCATCGGGCCAATACCATGAGTCCTCATATCCCGGACTTACAGGTATTCTCAGTATCCTATCCACATCCTCCTCATCAAATTAATCTGTTAAAATATGTGGATCCCAGGTAGCAGTCTGGTCATCTATTAAACCTGCCACTTTAGCATGTCTAAGCTCTACAGGCATATCTGTTTGTATTAGGGGCTAGGATTATCAGGGAGCCATGGGTGTCCCCAGATTAATGTCGTTCTACTATCCCCAATCCTCCTCCGCACTCGTGCCACCACCATATCATGAGCTGCCATAATACTCCTCCATGAGTAGCTTGGGCATCCTCCTACCTTAGCATCAATAAAAGAGGTATTCGGATAGTACCGAGCCTTCTTTTGCAACAAGGGAATCAGGACTTGTGAGTAGCCGCCATGCTTGCTTTCCCAACATTGCCACATTAAAACTCCTGAGATCCTTAAATCCCATTCCCCCAAATTTCTTTGGGATACTCAGCTTATCCCAAGCTTTCCAGTGTATTCCCCTATCCATACCAGTGCCCCACCAATACTTGTTCATTGCTCTCTGAATTGATAAACACACTGTGTCTGGGATCAAGAAGACACTCATTGAAAAGGTAGGCATGGATTGTGCCACACTTTTTAATATAATTTCCTTTCCTGCATGTGACAGAAACTTCTTGTTCCATGAGCTAATCCTCTGCTTTATTTTATCCTCAATATACGAGAACATTGCCCTTTTATTCCTCCCCACAAAAGATGGTAAACCCAGATATTTCCCAAAATTGGGTGTCTGGTCTACCTGTAAACAAGTTGCCACCACTTCCCTGTCCTCCACACTGGTATTCCTGCTAAAACAGACACTGGACTTGTGATAGTTCACCTTCTGTCCTGACAACTCCTCATATCGTCCCAGACACTGCTTAATTACTTCTGCTTCTCGATCATTCGCTTTAAAGAACAATAGGCTATCATCCGCAAAAATAAATGTGATATCTGTGGGGCTCCCCTAACTACTCTGCAGCCATGTATTAAGCCAGCCATCTGAGCTCTTTGTAGCAGCATAGATAATCCCTCAGCACATATGATAAACAAATACGGAGACAAAGGATCTCCCTGCCTTAACCCCCTGGTCGGCGTTACACTCCCACTAGTAACACCATTAATCAGGATGTTATATTGGACAGTAGTGACACAGTGCATCAATAAATTAATCCACCGGTCACCAAAACCCATTACCTCCGACATCCTTCTCAAGAACTGTCATTCCATCCTATCATATGCCTTTGCCATATCTAGTTTCAAAGCTGCCCACCCCTTCTGACCACACTGCTTCCTATTCAAATAGTGCCCCACTTCCGCAGCTATAAGAATATTATCAGTAATAAGCCTCCCAGGAATAAAAACACTCTGAGCCTCTGAGATGAGGTCCCCCATAAGTGGTTTCATCCTATTGGCTATTACCTTTGCCATAATTCTGTACAACACGTTACTTAGCGCTATCGGTCTCATGTCAGATACTGTCTTAGGCACATTCTTCTTCGGAATTAAAATCACATTAGTGTCATTTAATCCCTCAGGGAGTGAACCTGAATTCAAGAAGTTTACAATAAATTCAGTCACATCCCCCCTACAATGTCCCAAAATTCCTGGTAGAATCCAGGATTCATACCATCCGGTCCTGGCGCTTTGTCAGGGAACATTGCAAATAAAGCACGCCTGGCCTCCTCAATCTCAAACGGGCGAAGTAACATAGTATTTTGTTCATTAGTTACACGGGGAGTAAAATCATCAAACATGGGATCCTCACACTCAGTATTTGATGATGTAAAAATAGCAGCATAATAATCCAAGACAACTTTCTTCATATTTTCCCCATCTACCCAGGCACCCACATCATTTTTCAATCTAGGAATATAATTTTTCATTCTACGGGCAGAAGCATACCTGTGATAGAATTTGGTATTGTAATCCGCACCGCGGAGCCAGTGTTGTTTTGCCCGTTGCCTCCAAAAAACATCCTCCTACACCTCCAATTGGCCCAGCCTTTCCTCAAGATTGCGAAACTCGGCCAATGCAGCCGAATCTCGCCTATGATGCAGCGCATCCTGCTCCTTTCTCAACTGCTTTATGCGGTCACCGGACTTATGCCAATGTTCCCCACCCCACCGCATGGGCCTCCCTCCACAATGTTGCTGACAAATCAACAACCCCTTATCCCTACCATCCTGCCAGGAAGTCTCCACCACACTCCGGCAACCTTCATCATGAACCCAAGCCATCTCAAAACGAAACCGTCTCGGCCCCCCTGTCTGCGCACCAGTGCAATATCAGTGTTTAGGAAGAGAGCCGAGTGATCAGATTTCCGCGTAAGAATATTTTCAACCCATGCCTCACCATGCAAATCAGTCCATTGAGCTGTCACCAAAACCTTATCCAACCTCTCCTCCAACCACCTCTCAGTTCCTTTCCCCTTCTCCCATGTAAACTGGTGACCTCTCATTGGCAATTGAACGAGACCACAATTGTGTACAGTATCTCCAAAGCCCCTAAGGAGACCTACCGGATGCGGGTTCCCCCCTCTTTTCTCATGCTGATATAACAGGTCATTAAAATTTCCCACAACCACCCAGGGTAATGTAGATTTTTCCTTTAAACCACTCAATAACTGCCATGCCTCCTTGCGTCTATGCCTCTGCGGGAACCCATAGAAACACGTCATACGCCATATTTTCCCCCATATAGCTACCTCCACATCCACATGGTTTTTTGAATAGCCCAACAACCTAGCAGTATTATTCTTTTTCCATAATAATGCCAAGCCACCCCCTCTCCTATCGTTATCTACGTAAAACAGACCCTCAAAACCAATCTTGACACGTAACCTTTCTGCATGACTCCGATTTACTTTAGTTTCCATCAAGTAGACGAAATCGGGCTTCTTAGGGGACACCATGTCCACCACCTCTCAAACTGTCTGTGGATTGCCCAAGCCACGAAAGTTCCAGCTTATCGTACTCATTGTGATGGGCGGGCCTGACCACCAGGACCTGCCGTAAACCCGTTTTTTGAGAATTCTGTCATCACCACATCTCCCGCATCCAACCTTAAATTACCATCGTCCACCCCATCCCCCCTCCTTCTTTTAGAAGCTGCTACCACCACCCCCTCACCCGCCCTCACCTCCCCAAGCCGTACACCACCCACACCCTCTACTCCTTCAATACCCGTACCCCTCACCTTCTCCTTACCTCCCGCCACACCCTTCCCCTTCCCCTCAAGTGGTACCAACCATGGCTCCCCCACCTGCCTCAGTCCCCGGCTGCCTCCCCCCACCTTCAGGTCCGCCGTGTACGGGAACTTGTCCGACGTTAGTCCATATTTCCTTGCCAACTTACAAAACTTATAGGCATGCCCCAGTAAACCCCAATAAAAGCAAAAGTTATGTAAACGTTCATACCGGAAATTCACCCAACAGCTTGTCTTGTCCCGCATAATAAGTTTCATTATCCGCTTTAGCGGCTTGTCCACCGGTATTGAGACCCGGACCCGGACCTGGTGAAACGTTTTCCACGGTGCACCTGGATAACGATCATCAACTTTAACAAACGAACCAATAAATTGGCAGCTTGTTCAAGAACCGCCTCCGAAGTATATCCCAACGGTAAGTCATAAAGTTGTACCCACATATCCACCGACTTCAATTCAACTGTTTCTGGTCGAGCACCCGCCCCCACCTGTCTGCAAACGAGGGTGCTATTATCAAACGACCATGGCCCTTCATCGAGGACCCTTTGCAAATCAGTTTCATCATAGAAGATGAAGATGAACATAAACAATCCCGGTTGAACAATCTATTTACTTCAATTATATTACAGCTTTTGTCTAAGTCATAATATAATCTCTCATTCAATACTATTATTCTAAGATCGACCTTGCATTGAGCGAGTCATGGCCAAAGAAATATATAGATTATGTATATTGGGTTTGAGGTTCTCTGATCCAGTGAACATTACCAACAATAGAACCTAATTAAGAACCATATATAATTATAGATTTAATACCCAAAATGTCATCGACTATAGTGGTTTTTCTCAATTCTGTCCTAAACGACTTTGGTGACTTAATGTAGTCCCAAAGTTTTGTGTTTTTACTCAATTTAGTCCCAGACTTTTGTGTTTTTACTCAATTTAGTTCCTCATTTATTATTCCGTCCATTTGTTGATAAATAAATAGACAATTCAGTAATTTTAATATTGGCATCTCTTACTTATAGACATGTGAAGTGCGAAATCCTTCTTTTTTTACGAATTACTCCCAGAATCAGTCCTAAACCTGCGAATATAAAATTTGATTCGTAGGCCTGGGAGTAATTCTGGGTGTAATTCGTACAAGAAATAGGAATTTCTCACTTCGCAAGTTGAAAGTAAAGAGAGGTCAATATTGATATTATTAAATTCTCCATTTATTTAACACCAATTTGACGAAATAACAAACGGAGGACTAAATTGAGCAAAACACAAAAGTCTGGGACTATAATATGTTACCAAAGTCGTTTAGGACGAAATTGAGAAAAACCACTATAGTCGAGGACCATTTCAGGTATTAGCTCTATAATTATATATAAAAGTCTCTGTTACATGGACTTTCAAATCTTACTTTTTAAATTTTATTCTCGCGGGCACTGATAAACTACTTTTTTCATGTGGGTCCCATACAAGTGTCGATCTACATCAAGAATTTGTGTGTGGGAGAACAGTAAAAGTTGAGAGTAGAAAATGAGAGTACATGAAGTTTTTTTGTATGTCATAATCCAAGGTTTGGTGTATCCCGGGCGTTCAAATATTCCTTCCAGTGATGCATAAACTAAACTCCCAGGCCACAACAGTAGTAGTATGGATAAAACTAATAACGTTCTTCGCCATAGCAGTAATCTTTATCATTGTAATATATTTTGTCTTTATCACCTGTACGCAATAAATTTTAAGATGAGTTTACTTCTCGAGTGATAGGAAAAGCGAGGATGTTTTCAAGTTTTAAGTCACAATGAACAAACCCCTTTGTCGTGAAAGTGTAAAACCATTGAGATCAAATCCAGTAAATGTAGAAATACAAGTAAGATTCCATGAATTTTTTTGTTCCTTAGCATTTGCCGTAAACCAATAATGTTTAAACCTAATTAATTCGACAAATGATTTCTTTCTTCTTTTGGTAATCTTTTGGTCATGCCATTCCAGAGCCATCAGAACCTGACCTCAACTATATATGCCCGCATTCTTGAAGAACTATCATATCGCAGAACGATCCTCAAGCATTCCTTTAATTTGCCACTTTTAGAACATATACTTTGCCCATTCTAGGTTGTGGTTAGGTTTAATTTGCACACTTGACCACGAGCAACCTATATTCAAACTGCAGATGAAGCCATGACTGTTAGATCAAATGGTGTGCCAGTGGAAAATGTAGTTCAGTTAGCTTTAGTCGATTAGGTAGCCGAGAAAATTCTGAACAAAAAAGAGTTGGAGTTTTACAAATGGGGCGGTGACCTTTCTCAACTTCTACAGAATGTTAGAGAGAAGCTAAATAAAGTTGCTGATGTAAGTTTCTCAGTAACCTTATTTGGATTCACTAAATTTATCAAAATCTTTGAACTCATTTTACTGTCATTCTTTGAATCTCACTTGCACTGTTTGTAATGTCCAAGCAAAGCGACGATCGCACTTCCAATGCTGTTATTGTGTATGTTTAATGGCACAGGCTGATGCCATTATCCATTATTGAATGCTCCTTTCCTTGGTTTCAATATAAGGCTATCTATATATACTACGTTGCCTATTGTATTTTTAATATGCAAATTCAAAAATTGGATTTGAAACTCGGGTGTGTTTGGAAATTCGGAAAATGATTTCCAATCATTTTTCAGGTTTCGAGTTTTTACAATACTTGTTTTTGGTTTCCATGACGGGGCACTACAGGGTAGGGGTGAGCATCAGTCGATTTTCTGTTAATAACCGAAAAAAATTATCCTTGGCATACTAAAATAACCAAAGCACCACTCATAACCGAACCGACCGAAAATTGGTTATATATGATCGGTTATTTTTAACCGAACTTTATTATCTGCTGTAATTTCTTAAAAATATTAGCTTAAACTCAAAAATTTTATCACTAAAAACACATTACTAGTTAAAGTATTCAATTGCATACAAATTTCAAAATCAAATGTCCTTTTAAGTAATAAAAATCACAAGTCTAATAGACTAACCGTTCGTAAATTAAAATATGCTCCAAAGTCCAAATGAGCACACTGGCTCACTGCCAATGTGCCAAAGTGCCTAACAGCAGACAATTGTTATATCGTGCATTGTGCGCCCTACAAATCCCATGTTTCGTATGTACAAAATTGTATAGCAGAATACACATAAATTTCTAAAATAATACACATAATCTAACATAATACATAATACACATAAACTCTTAACATAAAATAAACATAAACTCTTAGGGTGCACAATGAATTGTACGTCCTGGTACACGATATAATTTGCCAACAGCTAGAAAAAGGGAATTAGGTTATTTTCTATATTCAATGTGGAGTGGGTTTTTGGTCCTAGACTTATAGTGCCACGGACAATTTTGGTCCTCTATAAAAAAATCAGACAATTTGTGAACACTCTTATTGTGACGAGGACAATTTTGGTCCTCCGTCAACATTTCCGAGATGACCGTTTGAAATGAGGGTATTTGCGTCGTTTCATGATATCTCTTTCTTGCATCCTTCTAGAGTGTCCTTTTAGCAACCAAATACGCCGCAACATGGCCTAGCACCCAGGGGTTTGGAAATAGCTTCCATGCTCAAGAATCAAGATATAAACGAGACAAATCCCGATCAACCATTCTTTCTAACTCAGCATTCCTGAAGAAGCGACCCATATGCTATCTACAAAGTATAATCTAAGAAATTAACTTGAATAAAAGTTAACACGTACTAGGAATGCTACAGAAAAACAATCAAATCCATGAAAAGATCAAGAATCAAGTTGTTCGTGAAGAGATGCTAAAGAAAAACACATATATCCTACCAGGGTTTTGAGACAATAAGTTGTCCATAACAAGATCTGGAGAGGTACTACCATCCATTGGTACATGTGGATCAATTAGAAGCTGTCTCCTCATAGCAGCATAACTGCAAGAAATGAACAATTACGTTAAGGGTAGAAATGTCCGATAATGACACAATTGTCACTCATGTAAGACAGGTTGAAGCTGTTTGCAGTTAGTAGCCAAAAACTATCTTGAGTTGTAGTACCCTAGATTTTTTTGTCACTCATGTAAGACAGGTTGAAGCTGTTTGCAGTTAGTAGCCAAAAACTATCTTGAGTTGTAATACCCTAGATTTTTTTCAACTCTAAACTAAACAAATTGTTTGACATTTAATAATGTGCTATGACGCACCTAACGAAATATAAGCATTTGTCAATCTGATTGTTTTTGTTTAACTTTTGCACTTTTAATGTACCAAGTATTCACATTGGATGATGTTCGTTCACAGAAATTAGAGGAAATAGATTTAACTGCTAACATAAATATTTGTTGAAAATTTCGGACCTTTGTAAACAGAATCGCTTATTAAAAGAATATCATTTTCCAATGACTGCTAAGGAAATGGTTGAAATTCAATAACATAAACGGCAGACACCAGTATATAGACTTGTAAAAGAATGAATTCAGAGATACGACGAAGAAGCAATTATATAAATTTATTAACTTTAAATTATCTAAATTCCATCATAGTAGTAACGGAACCATGAAATATGATGACAAAAACAATAAAAAATAAGAATTTTATGCGACATAAACTCCAATTAAACCCCATAGAGAAAAAGAATTACCTTCTACGTAAGTCTGCAGTCACGGGGCGAAGATCGATTATAGAAGCAGATGGAGAAGACGGCAAGATCCCCAAATCGATGCACCATCGTTGAACAATCGTTATATCGTGAATCAGGGCGCACAATGCATTGTGCGTCCAGTCCAAAACGACGTTTTTTATGTATATTATGTTAAGAGTTTATGTGTATTCTGTTTAGAGTTTATGTGTATTCTGTTTAAAGTTTATGTGTATTATGTTATGAGATCATGTGTATTATGTTATGAGTTTATGTATATTATGTTAAGAGTTTATGTGTATTATGTATTATGTTAGATTATGTGCATTATGTTATGTGTTTATGTGTATTCTGTTATGAGTTTATGTACATTCGAAACAAGGGATTTTATTTAAGAAGTTAACGGCAGAAACGGGAAACATAATTTTAAAAAAAAAAACATATACAAAACGATGCCGTTTTGGCCAAGGTGCACAATACATTGTGTGCCCTGGTGCACGATATAATTTGCCACATTAAAATGTATGGACTTGACCACGATTTTCGGTCAATTTTATTTTTCTCGGTCTAAAACTGATAACTGACTAGAAAAAATCGAAATGACCGATTTTTAAAGCCTATAATAAAAAATCGACCGAAAACCAAATTATTTATCCGATTCAATATAATTAATGAACAAAATTGACTGTAATGAATGTTTAACTATTCTATTGATCTTTGTTGTAACCTATGATTAATGAATTAACTTCCTTATTTAAGAAAAAATGAACAAAATTATTATTTATTAATTATAATCATTATTTTGAACCTAAATCATTACTATAATTTCTATTAGTTTGTAGTATTTTCGACATATATTATTATTACTAGCATTTTGTACGCGCGATGCGCGAAAATTTATGCCCAATATTAAAACATTGATAAATACAAATAATAAAAAATTATAATTAAATTATATATACACAAATAATATAGATATTTTGTACACACATATATAATTTATCATTCATAGAAATTTAATTAAAATATAATTAAGCATTAAATTAGTATATAATGATTTTAATAAAATGATCATTAAAAAATAAGAAAATATATGATAGATATAGGTGTATGTGTTGGTCCCAAAAGAGGTTAGGTGAAAGTCTAGAGAGGGGGGGGGGGGGGTGAATAGACTTTCAAACTTTTTTCGCACAGCACAACAATTGCTAAGACAGAGATAAACCAAAACTCTTAACTTAGATTGTTAGAGTATGGTGCACAGCGGAAATAAATAAACATAAAGTGTGTGTGAGATTGTGTGAGCAGTATATCTTCGTGAGAGCGAATATGTAAAGAGCGGTATGTAAAGAAAGCAGTAAAGAACACAAGACAATTATAGTGGTTCGCGAGGTGGTGTAATCCTCCTACTCCACTTGCTCTTTTCTCCAAGAGCCAATTCACTATATCTACCACTCCTTGGTTCCAAGATACAATGAATTTCCGTGATCTAGTGCTTTGATCACAAAGCCCGCACTAATCACGCCCAGTGACACCACACTGCTGCTTCGGGTTTCACGTCGCCGCGCTACTATCCCAGGATTTCACGACTCCGCGTTACTTTCCCCCCGTCTTCCACACTCCGGTAGAAACGTATCCCGTGATCTGGTGCTTTGATCACCAAGCCCACACCAATCACGCCCAGTGCCTCCGACACTGCTGCTTCGGATCTCACAGCTCCGTGTGACAATCCAGGATTTCACAGCTCCGTGCTACTTTCCTCCCTTCTCTTGTTTTGCTCCAAAACAAGTGTTGTCTTGCTTCCAACTTCTGAGACTCTGTAGATGATCTTCAATGATGCACAGGTCTCTTTCATGAAGATAAACACTCTGGAATGATTTCTCTTGACAGCTCTGAGTGTTTTCTCTTTTTGAATATATCAAGTAAAGCACTTGATATTTTGCTCTGCTTTGCTCTGTTTAAGAACTCTCTGAATTTTTTTCTTTTGAAGCTCTCTGAGTTCTTTTCTCACACTTGAAGATTTTAGCTCTTTTAAGCTTAATTGCTCTATTCGATCCTTTGATGGATTCGAATTTTCTGCTCTCTTATTTTTTATATGCTCTACTGCTCTTGTTCGTAAGTTCCCCCTTTTTCCCTGATCTTCAAGTCTTCACATCTTCATCATTTTATAGCTGGTAATGAGAATCTGTCCGTTGGAAAGAGACGCTCTCATTTTTGAAATCTTGTATCTTTTGTCAGAGATCTTATCTTATCTTCTGCAAAAATGTCAGAAAGAGATAAGCTAGCCGTTGATGGAGTTTCATCTCCATGTAAATAAGCTCCCAAACTTCATCTGATATTCCTCTGTTTTAACGTTGAGTGGAAATATTTGGGTCTCAGTTTTGGTGTAGAATGGCTTCTCTGATTAGCTCTGAAGTGGTCCTTGTATCTTTGGGATTCAAAAATAATCTTTATTTTAATCCCATACTAGTTAGACTAGTAATTTCCTTGTGAGAATATTTTTCACTGTAAGTTCTGCTTCATCTTCTTCATTCTCACGCCTGGGTGTTCTTAGACTTCAAACTGGCTTTGAACTTCCACCCAATTTGAATTTCTCCTTTGTAATTGACACCCAATTTCAATTGGCTTTGAACTTCCACCCAATTTGAATTTCTCCTTTGTAATTGACACCCAATTTCAATTGGCTTGTAATTGGCACCCAATTTGAATTTCTCCTTTGTAATTGGCTCCCAATCATGGTCTAAGACTCTACTAGACCTATAAATAAAATTGGGGGATCTACAAATACAAATTTGGCATATCAAAACCATTACATTTTATTCCTAACAATTTCCCCCCTTTTGATAATGCCAAAACCTATACTCAGTCATTGGCTTTAAGTCTTTGAAAAATAATCTTTTTGCTCAATTTTATTTGACAAAGCCAAGATGAGTTTAACAAATGGTTTTCTAGACACAATCAAAAGAAAAATTGTGAATTAATTTTTAGACAAGCTCCTAAACGCATCTTGAATTATTTTTTATTTTGATCATCATCAATTTTTAATTTTGTCGTGCGTTTGACATATTTCTTGTTTTTTAATTCACGAAAGTCTAATTACATTAAGCAAATAAAATTAAAGACTCAAAATAGACCATGGGAAATTATTATTGATATATTTATAGAGAAAAAACGCAACAGAGGTTCGAAAATAGAGAATATCAGCTTAAGAGAATTTTCAGATTACCTTCTGGGTTTCTTCACACCAAAGTCTTTCTTCAAAATTTCTTTGACATGTTCTCTGAGCTTGAAGAAATCATCTTTGAACTTTGCATTCTGAAATTTCTTTGTAAGCTGTCCGACCATGTAATGTCCAAAAGCTTCTTTGATGTTGTTGCCTGGAAGAACTCCGTTTTCCCACCATAAGACACATTCTTCGAAGCTTCTTTCTTCTCCAAGATTCATGCCCATATTTCCGGTGAAATCTCTTAGTTCATACCACATCTCGGTTCTTTTCCTTTTGCCTTCTTCTTCTTTATTCTTTTCCGAGATCCATTGGGCTTGATCGGCTGCAGGCCATTTCTTGATCATGCTTGGTAAATTTTCTTTGGTCCATATTGTTGTCTGAGTGGCGGTACCCTTAGAGCATTCAAGCCAGCCACGCTGTTCAGCAACCTTCGATGTACTCGTACCAAGACTAGGATTCGCGAACTGAGCAAAACCAATCTGAGATGGTCCTTGTGATGATTGTCCGCGGCTTCGGCCTCTACCTTGAGTAGACATTACTGGCTGTTGTTGACTTCCAAGAATAAATTCTTGTTGTTGCAAAGCCATGTGACTGAGGATTTCTTCCCCCCTTTTGGCGTTATCAACCAAAAAAGCAAGGGTCTTAAAATCTCGGTCTTGGTTTGCCTTCACAGTTTCAACACTGTTGTGCGTTTCAATGGAAACGGTTTGCACGTTGTCAAGCTTATTTGTTGTAACTGCGAGTTCAGCTTCAAGTTTGTTGATTCGGCTTTCTTGGTCTTGAATTGCTTTGATCTGTCTCAAGTGACGTTCGTTGTGAATCTTTTCAGCTGCTTCACGTTCCTTCTTCATGAGCTGAATGACTTCAAGTAAGCCTTTCGTCACTTCTCCTTTCAGAATTCTTTCTGCTTTGTCAATCTGAGTCTTCAAAGAATTTTGATGCTCCATTATTTCTTTCAGATTGACTCGGGTATCCGTGTGTTGTTGTTCTAGCATTTGGTTTTGTTCAACCAATTTTTCTCCAATTGTTTGACAAACAACATCACTGGATTCGGCCACTTTGGCAAATAAGGATGAAAATATGTCATCTTCTTGTTCATCCATCTACACAAAGTTTTGAGGGGATCCGAACGGACTTCTATTCGGATTTGTGAGAACAACTGTATCAATAAGTTGCATCCCTTCTTCTTCAGGTGATTCGGCTTCTTAATTGAGATCACCAATTTCTTCTTCTAAGACCTCTGTTCTCGTGTAGTTCTCTGTAAATAAATCTTCATTTTCTAGAACAGGGTCCACAATAGGTATGGTAGACTCGGTATGGTGTACTGGCAGTACACTGGATAATTGCTCCATGTTCTCAATAGCAACTTCAACTGCAACTTCCACTGGTATATCTCTTCTTCTTTCTTCTGACACTTGTTTTTCATATTTCTTCTCGTACTGACACTTCTCCCCTTAATTCTTTTCTTCTTTTATCCCTTTTGTAGCCATAATAATAATTTTTTTTTAATTCTTTTTTTTTTATTTTTATTCATATATTTTTTTGTGTGTCTTTTTGGCTACGAAACTTTTGATCTTTTTATATACGTAGGGATTTTTCATTTTGTAGGAGAGAGAGAGACAGAGAGAAAATAGAGATAGACACAACCAGTAGCAAAAACATCCAAAAAACTTTTTATTTATCTCCTTCTTAGGGAGAAAGAGAGATAACATTTTTGGATTAGGTCACATCACATATTCAGGCTTCATCAGTAGAGAGACCAGCGCCGTGATTAGTCTCAAGATCAGCATGCGGTGGAGACGGAGAGCTTGATTTCAGAGTATAGACTAATCCGGGTTCCATTGAGAGTTGAGCAGAT